TTTAAACCTTCCCCCCCCCCCCCCCCCCAACCCCCATACAAACAAAAAGTCTGGTAACAACATTCAAGTTTTAACCCTGTCGTTGAAGTTTGAGTTCTCATTTAGACAAAAGAAGCTTCTAATTGATTTCCATAATCCGCTGTGCTTCATCAACTATAAGAAAATTGAAGCTATAGACTTCATGCTTATGCTTAGTGGTTTTTCATTAGCTAATAACTATAAGCAAATTCTCATTATAAACGTTCATAACCTACAAACACATCAAGTGCCACTTCCATATCACTTTCCTTCTCTAGTACCCTCATGTTTCTAGGCAACCAACCAGACGTTTAGCAAACAAAAACATGGGTTTCAGTTCTCATAAGATTACAACCATAAAAATCAAGCAAACAAAGACATGGGCTTTTCTTCTCTAAGGATTATGGCCATAAAAATCCAATCTTTGAACTCCAACGCCATTAAAACACAACAAACTTTTAAAAAATAAAAATAAAGAAGCAACATATCAAAAGAAATGAACTTTACCTTATCTAGATTCAGATAAGCTCATTAGCAGCAATATAGCAAAGAGGGTATTGATGCAATCGACAATTTGATGAAAACTCAAGTATGGACAGTTGGTTGGTTAAAAAAGAGTGAACGAAAGAAAGAATCTCTTTGAATGATATGGGGAAGTACTTAAGCCACCAATTTATTGAATGGCTATGACAGATTCCAATGATGGCTTGATTCCACCATAATTTTTTTCTGGTTATTGTTGTTAGAATCGCTATATTGGTGACTGTGACTTTGAAAGCTTAGTCCTTTGCTGGGATTTTGCGTGGCAAAGTTCGATATTTAAGAACCCGTTTTCTTTTTCTTTTATATATAATTTTAATACATTATATTAAAAAAAAGTTTTAAAAAATAAAAAAATATATTTTTAATATATTTTTAAATAAAAACTATTTTAAAAAAGGTGATGCTAACAAATTACAAATGAAAAACTACACCATTACTCGTACACTCATCTAACAAAATCATACTCCAATTAATACTAATAATTCAACTTAAATATGATAGATATCAACTTAAATGATGGATTTATTATTAAATAATAAATAATTTGAATATTTAAATAAATATATATAACTTGATTAATATAAATTTATTATCATATAAATAATAAATATAATATAAACTAAATCCATAAATATTCATCAAATAAACTAGTTCTATAGTATATATCCTACATGGTAAAGCCTCAAAATTGATATTATCCCACATGATCACTAACCGCATCTAATGCAATATAATTTCTAGATACTTTCATTCTAGTTTTTCGATGTACAAAACAGGTTGGCTACCAACAAAATCAAGACATTAATCTAATTTCTTGATGCGGAAAACTTGCCTAATATTACCCTTAGTGATTTTACATCCTAGTTCATGAAAACTCTTAGATGGTTTTGCAAATAATACCGAAGGGTTACATATCTATATTGATTGTTTAATATTTAGTTTTAGTTCATCTAGTTTCCACAGTAGTTCAATTGCTAGCAAACATGGAAGCTAGAGCTTTAAGAATGTCAATAACTCCTCACAATAATTTCCCTTGTAAGCTTGTAACCATCCTACTACCACATTCCAATCAGAAATTTAAAAGTGGTAAGTTAATCAAAACATACTTGTACAAATATTATGGCAGCTGCAATAATCAAAGACTTGTATGAAAAATTTATAGAAGCACAATAATTTTATAAAAAGTCATCAAATGAAGCTCAATAATCCAAAATAGAGTTTGGAAGTCAAAGAGTAAGGGTGTTTTTTATAAAAATAAAATAAAATATTTTATATTTTTAGATTATTTTGATGTATTGATGTCAAAAATATTTTTTTCAAAATAAAAAAATTTCATTTTAATATATTTCTAAATAAAAAATATTTTAAATCATCATTATTATTATAATTCCAAACATGCTTTAAAAATAACTATTTTAAAATGCATTATAGATTTACATGACTCATACTAAAAACTCTGCTTTAAAATTTTAGTTAAAAAAAAGTTATAATTTGTAATTTCTATTAAACTTGCTACTTTTTCAAATTTTAATTATACAAACACACACTTAACTAACTTAACTAAGCAAGATCTTTGATCCAAAAAAACCCCTCAAGTGCTAGAAAACATAAGAAAATGCTTGTGATTAGCTAATTATAATGCAACACGGAAATGATTTTTTACACAAGTCCCATTCTATTCTGAAATCTTAATTAATAATAAGTTATAATTTCTAGTTTTTCTTAACCATATTTTTTCAAGCCGCGATTGCAAATGCTAGAAAACATGAACAAATGCTTGTGATTATCAAATTGTAAAGCAACATGGAAATGATTTTCATGGTAATTATTAAGGGTGAGACACTGAGACTCAGATTTGGATCCGATTCTCTTCTCTGTTTCACCAAACACTTGTTGGTTATTCTCTTTTTCTGGTTTAGTTCTGAAGAGTTTGATCATCATTCAAAATGTATATCTTACTGAAATTATAGGGAAAATCTTGTAGAACTGACGGATGGGGTGGCCTTGTTCTTGACAACAAATTTCTTGCCACTCGTTTTCAAATTTTGACGAGATTGTGGAGCGTTCATATATAGAAAGAAGACACAGAGAATTCATTCGCAGTCCTAATTGTGGAAAATAAATACCCACAGAACTTGATCTGCAAAGGATATGGCAGATACAAACTTAATTCTACTTGTGAGCATAGCCAGATCCATTAACAAAAACTACATGATCATCCTTAGCCTCCTGCTAAAAGCATGAATCTCGACAAGGTCTCACCTTGACTCTTGTTGAAAATGGAAATCAAGCTGGCTTGAGAAATTGAACAAGATTCAGCAGCCAAATTTGAACTGCCAATTGCCTTTCCCTGACTTGGTAGAATCCTCTCAAATCTCACCAACCACCCTCTTTCCTCTTCTTTTTCCCTCTAAATACTGTTAACGATACTAATCCCATGCTCTAAGTTCCACCATCAATTACCTTACACCCTAATTCTAATGCACTCAGTTTTAAGAGGACCAGTCGTCATCTCAGGTAAGGTCCTTGAAATCAAGGGTGCATATTCTCTGGTGTCAGATTGTACCTCTTGACATCCATTAAGTTCAGGGACACATGAAACTGTGGCAACTGAAAACTGAAAACTGTAGCATATCATTGGTAATGAAAATTCTTTGAATTTATTTTAAAATTGTTTTGTAAACAGATTTATTTTTTATTTTTTTCTGTTTTTTAAATCAAATATATTCTGTTTCTATTTCTTTTATTTTTTTCCAAAACAATAATTAAACACTATTATTGCATATTTAATTTATTTTTTAGGGTTAAATATGTATTCTCAAATTAATATATATATATATGTAACTAATTTAAGTTTGATTTTTGAACCTCCTCAAAAATAGAATACTTATATTAATAAGTTTACAAGAATTTCATTTTTCTTAATCCAAGATTAAATGCTAATAACTATAGGAAAACATTAAAAAACTAACTTCAAATTTAGAAGGAACAAATGAGAAAAATTTATTGTCAAGATATCTAAATAATACAATTTTATTATAAGATAGCTGATATGAAAATATTCTAACCTTAAAAACAAGAAAAAAACAAAAATAAGATGGGGCTGCTAAGTCGATAGTCCTAAGCACCACTCACTAGCGATGGGGTTCAAGAGATGGCTGTATCTTGATTTGGCAGAGACACCCTCCTCCACCCACTACGACACACACCAGCCAAACATCCTTGCTACAAAAAACATAGTATAATGTCCAACACATATAAGAGTGGCCATATTTTATCTCTCTATCCATCTAGACTCCACTGCATGAGATGCTCTTTTGAGCTCTCCAAGATTTGCTTTCCTTTGAACAACACTCACCACCACCAAGAACAACCATGTAAGCTTCTCTATTTATTGTTCTGTTTTCATGTTCATGACATTTGCTATGCAATTATGCTGTCAAGATTGCATCTTCTCTTTTTATATGTGATTTATTTGCAAGGGTTTGAGATTGAATGATGGTGCTTCTTGTGAGTAATGAGTATTTGAAGGAGATCTAGAAAACCCATTTTCAATTTTGCATTTGGCTTCTTTTTCGATTGTTGATTGTGCTTTGAGATATTGTTTGGAAATGGGAAGTGACAGATTTGTCATTTTTTGTTTTGATTGCTAGTGTGTTGCCTGGATTGCATGTTTTAGTTTGTTTCGTGATAGGTAATGTCAGTGGCTTGTAAATCATGTCCTAGCTTCCTTGTGTTCTCCTTTCTCAGACACTAACATATTTGTGATCCCTTTTGCTTTGGTTTTAAGTTGCTGGCATCGTTTGTCTCTTTGTGGTTTGATTATATGTAAACATATATATGATCAAAATCCAATCCTTATGTTTATACACATGATAAAAATCCAACCTTTATTCTGCATTCGGCCAGTGCTGATTATGGTATGTTCATTTCGGTGTCACCAGTTGTATCAAAGAGTTCATATGACTGTTGTTTTGATCAGATTTACTCTGTTAAGAAGATGAGGGGAGGAGGTTTGTGGCAACTTGGCCTATCAATAACCCGCCGAGTTGCTCAGGCTGATAAGAAGGCTGTGGGACGTCGATGCTTTGCCTCAGAAGCTGAGCTGAAAAAGACTGTCCTTTATGACTTCCATGTTGCTAATGGTGGCAAGATGGTGCCATTTGCTGGGTGGAGCATGCCCATTCAGTACAAGGACTCCATCATGGAATCGACGGTGAATTGTAGACAGAATGGTAGCCTTTTTGATGTCTCACATATGTGTGGGTTTAGCCTGAAGGGAAAGGACTGTGTTCCTTTCCTAGAGAAACTTGTTATTGCCGACGTTGCTGCGCTTGCACCTGGAACTGGGACTCTAACTGTCTTTACTAATGAGAAAGGAGGAGCAATTGATGATTCAGTGATCACCAAGGTGACAGATGATCACATGTACATAGTTGTGAATGCAGGGTGTAGAGATAAGGATCTTGCTCACATCGAGGCTCATATGAAGTCATTCAAGGCAAAGGGTGGAGATGTCTCATGGCACATCCATGATGAGAGATCTCTTCTTGCCCTCCAGGTCAATTTTGTGTTCTTATCTTTGTCTCTCCTTTTGTTTTCTATTTTTTTTTCCTCGTTGGGTCTTTTATTTTGTCTTGATATTCATGAATTATTGCAAAATTAATTATTTGAATCCAGCTCTCAAATAATTCGTGACTTTAGTATACAACTAATGTGTACTATCCCGCATTGTAATAATACCATTGTGCTTTGAACTGCACTTTCTTCTTCTATTGTTCGCCACAGCCAAACCTTTTCGGGGGCAACAGTGTCCTAATATCATGGCCTTACAGAGTTTCCTCTTTTTTTGTGGTGCAGGGTCCTCTTGCTGCCCCTGTTCTCCAACACCTGACAAAAGAGGATTTGAGCAAGGTATACTTTGGGGAGTTCCGTATTACAGGCATCAATGGAGCGCGCTGCTTTATTACTAGGACAGGGTACACTTCGTTTTGGTTTCTCCCACTTCATATGTCCTCAAATATGGAATGCACATCTATGACCATTTATATGTAGCATTAAGAGCTTAAGAATAGCTCTCTTGTTGACGTTGTGTTTTGAGCGTGCTTAATTTCCCCTATTCTTTATTTTGCAACAAAATGAGTGGAACATGGTAATTTTCTATAACTGTACCCCTTTATTTTGACATCGTGAAGAAGAAATTAGTAAATAATGTCATTTAAACCATGTCTTTCCATGTTTACGCTTTTCTTACTGGACATGATGGATTTCTTCTGCCTCTTTGCTGACATTTTCAGGTACACTGGTGAAGATGGATTTGAAATTTCTGTTCCTTCAGAGAATGCAGTGGATCTTGCCAAAGCAATCCTAGAAAAATCTGAAGGAAAAGTAAGGTTGACAGGGCTTGGTGCTCGGGACAGTCTCCGACTTGAAGCTGGGCTGTGCTTATATGGTAATGACATGGAACAGCACACAACACCAGTTGAGGCAGGACTGAATTGGGCGATAGGGAAGAGAAGGAAGGCAGAAGGCGGCTTTCTGGGTGCTGAAGTAATACTCAAACAACTTGCAGAAGGTCCAAAAGTCAGGCTTGTAGGATTTACCTCTACTGGTCCCCCTCCTAGATCCCACAGTGAGATTCAGGATGAGAAAGGGACTAACATTGGAGAAATTACTAGTGGAGGATTTAGCCCATGCCTCAAGAAAAATATAGCCATGGGGTACGTGAAATCTGGTTTCCACAAGACAGGCACCAAAGCGAAAATACTGGTACGTGGGAAGGCCTATGATGGAGTTGTCACCAAAAAGCCATTTGTACCAACTAAATATTACAAGCCATCTTAACTCAGGTTTCCTTCTTCAGTACCTGCATTTTCTAATTGGTTCCTGTTTTGACCAGTTTTCGATGAACTCGATCCACGAAATCTCCCCGATTTCTGTCTCCAAGTTGTTCTCTCTATCTTGTTCATATTTTCATTATTAGTTGAGAGGAATGATTGTATTACATCGTTCCAAATGAGAACAAATTTCATGACAATAAATGAAAACCACATCTACTTTCTTTATGTGTTGCTCATTTCAAGAACCCGTCGCCCCTTGACACTGCTTGGCAAAGAATTTTGTGAGGCATTCCT